GAAGTTGTTTGAACTAGCTAAGAGGACAACCTTATCACACGGCTCCCACAGAAGTGATAACGTCACAGATCAGCACGTTACTTCTGTCACTTACTGAAGCAAGACCTGTATTTTTGATCTTTCAGTCATAAACTTGTTCAACCGTTGTGTGTTTGATTCTTCAGTGATTTTTGAGACTTTATTGTACCTCTGGTTTGTATCTTCATATATTTCATGATATGATTAATGCCATAGTAAATTATTTGACACCTGGTGGTACGTTTTTCACCACAGTAATTTCAAGTGTCATGTTTTTTCAAGTAGACATCTTGAATATTTTACGTGGCCACACGATCTCGTGGCTTGCGTTCTGTTTTGTGTTGCCTGGTACTTCATCATTGAAGTATTCTTGCAATTATATTGTTTTTTATAGTGGTGTTGTTTTACGTGTTCTCGTAAACTTGTTTTTCATAAACCCACATGGGTGGGAAAAAACTTTATAGCATATGTAATTGGGTGAAGGCGCTCTCTGCTTCATTTGCAGATAACATGCCATCTTGTAAAAAGTGCCGGTGTAACAAATCAGCATGGTATCCCCATCCCCTGTGCCTAAATTGTATGTCCCCATGCTCCCAATTACAAAATGTAATGACTGTCTTCCGCTTTCCCCCACAGCTTTCGGCAAGTATCTCCAGGTATCTTGTAATTGAGAGACCCAGCTGGCCCTTAAACGACTACAGAAAATGTCTTATGTATCGGAACCTGTTACCCATGCACCCCGGCCACATTTCCTGTCATCCAGGACAGCCCTGTTGTCCACCACCTCCGTCAACTGATGTTGACAACAACCACATCGATCTACTCATCAATGGCACAAAACAGACTTGGTATATATGACGACTGGCTCAGCATCTTAGGATCACTCCACGCCGATCCAGCACCCAACTTACCAGTACACCACAGCGCCTATGCAGTCCACACGACAAGCGCCTCTGGGCTATGGTCTACCCATCTTCCAACAGACACCTCAACAGCAGACGCCCTATACGGACTCCCCGTGGCAACACTATCTCCAGCTACTGCACCAGTTCTAATGCCTCTGTTCCCAGTGCCTTCAGCTCCTATATCGTCTATGCAAGCGCCTTACCAGCCGCCTCCCGTGGCTTCTTCACAGGCGTCTCTACTGGCATTCCTACAAGTGCCTCTCCAAGCGTCTCTACAGGTGCCTTCATACATGCCTACCTTGGACACGTGTAGCAAGTCCACCTCCAGACACTCTGTGTCACGTGATTCCTCTTCACCCAGGACTTACTCATGGCATAGCAGCAAGTTGTCTCACTCCCGATGCCGTTCCGGTCTCTGTTCCCTGGTTTGCTGACCAATCAGACTCTGAAGGCTCCTATGAAGAATTGATGTCAGAGGTAGATGCCCATCTCAGCCTCAACCAAGTTGCTGATTTGTTGGCCGACCGGCTAGGTGGCTGTGGTTCTTCTCCTGACTAGGGCGTGTATAAGAGGGACACGATGTGGTCCAACCCCACCTCCATCCCTCCGGATCCTTTGAACAAAGACATTATCACTGCGCTCGATGGAGACTACTCGAAGTTGTCACTTAGTCCATCCTTCAAGGTGCCAAAATAAAAGATGGAAGATTTTCCTATCAACTCCATGAAGCTTGCGGACGCTGCCCATAACCTTGATGAGGACCATCCTTGTTCCAGACAACAATCTCACCTAAGTTGAGATGGAACTCAGACGCTCTCTCAAGCCACTATCCATCATGGCGTCCACCTCCAGGGCCATTATGCAGGACCTCTACACCATCCTCGCCTATCTCTCCATGGAGAGGTGTTAGTACTCTCTTTGAAATTGTTTCGTGTGGCGTCTGGTAGACATGAGCTGTACCGAACTTGAAGAGCTTCACACCTTCTAGATCGGTTAGACATTTGACAGAATTGTCATTTGTTACCAGGTACCCACCTGTTGGGCTCCTCAGACACAGGTAAGCACCAGGCATCACAAATTTCAGGGAGATCAATTTGCGCCTGCACTGGCCAAGTCACACGTCCTACACAGAACTTATTGCTTATTGTGGGATTCAAGGTTAATGCGCAGGGTGATTTGAATATCAGGAGTCAAGAATTCTGACTGTACACACCGGAATTAGGTCAACTAACCTAATAGGAACGGTACAGGGTCATTGAACCAGATTGATTTGCATGCTTACTGGTACATAATGCTGCAACCTTTCGGTATATCAATGTGACCGAGTCACAATCTTCAGCACAATATGGAGGCACACACGGAGTATGAAGCACTTTCTTCGTCACCTTGATATAAGAACGGGAGGATTCATGGGGCTGTGTCCGTGTGCGAAATACGCTACAGTCGGAAAGCGCATGTTAAATCTCCTATATCAGTCAGTCAGTCAGTCTGGGGCTGCGTATCTTTGCATATCAATTGCTCTTTTATTTAATCTACATGGGAACTGGTAGTGTTTCGGTTACAAACACTATTTTTCACATCTTGTCCAGACATGACAGGACTAGAAGCCCTCCCATATTACTTTCACATACTTGTAAACAATGATCTTCGAAAGAAATTATTTAGTAGCAATGTCACAAATAAAAGCCTTTGTAGTTATTCTGACGACAAAGAACGAATCTAATATATTTAATTTTTCTCTATGTATTAAGCATGCATTAGCCAAAAGAAATGAATTAATCAAACGATGTATATTCCCAATGTGTAACATTTATGATTGTATCTACATGCGTAGCTCTCTCTTGTATGTGGGCCGGCATACAAAGACTTACAATATAAACAATCTAGAATTTAGACGTGCTCATGCTGGCCATCTCATGTTCGCAGGAGCAGCTACAGTCCACCCAACTCCACCGACAACAGCATGGTGGTGTGGTACGTGTGGAATCAAGAGACAATGCACTCACTCCCTTCTGCAACAGGCATTCCGGTTCTTTCATCTAGTGGATCGTCTGGGACAAAAATTTATAGTCCAGCACATCCCCGGGTGTCGGAACATCCTGGCCGACGCCCTATTCCGGCAAGACAGGGTGGCTCCAAGGGAGTTGAAACTTCACTCAGGGGCATTCCAAGTGGTGCTTCAGCGCTTCAGGCAACCAAACATCATACTGTTTACAAATCACCAAAGCCACCAACTTATGACGTAATATGTCTCCCCACTCCCGAGTCTGCAGGCTTGGGTGGTAGACACATTCAGTGTCTCCTGGGACAGGCTAAAAGCATATGCTTTTCCAGCCTCCAAAGATACAAAGAGCCTTGCTCTGACTTTGAAGGTGGTTTGTCGATCTGAAAAACCTTGCAGAAGACGATCCACAATCTCTCCCAGAGTGGTCCAACCTACTCACCCACCCCCACGGCAAACCACCTCACCCTAGCAGGCAGATTTCAAACCCTTGGTTTGTCTTAAAAAGGTGTTAAATGCCAAGGGCTATTCGGCACGGGCTGCTAAGGCTATTGCTTTGACACATCTTCTCTCTAACAGAGGGTTATACGATGACATGTGGAGATCATTTGAAACCTTCTGTAAGACTAAAAATCAAGATCAACAACAGCGTCGTGGCAAATCTTAGCCAAATACCTCCTACACTTGTATATCAAAAGATACTTGAAAAATCAACTTCCAGGCCAACCGGATCATTCTTTCAGCATTTCGCCAATCTCAACGATTGTGGGAGCTGAAGATGAAGGTGAACTGCTATTACCCAAACACATACTACTAGTTTTCATTCAAAGGCTTGTTAGTCGCATCACCATATCTCTATTGTCACGCTCAGTTTTAGGTCCTACACGGTTTTCATAAGCCATTATCTTCAGAATGTGGCCCTTGAAGATGTCAAGGGCATTCATAGTTTTGGCCTTCTGGAAGTAGACCAGCAGGTAACCAACTCCTGATGCCAATAATGAACTTGTCCTGTCCGGAGCCCTTCACTAGCGGCAATGTCTACGACATCGAGAGGAATTTTTCAAGGTTTTTTATCAGCTTTGGCTCGGTAACAAAGTATTAAAGAATTTAGCTTACGCTTTCTTCCTTTTTACAAGTTTGTGTACATGGATATATCCTCAATTCTTATGTTCCGTCTGTAGATAAGATTGAACCAGCCCTACTGTTATGGCGTTTTTTATGTTTTTTTTGCTTTACGGTTATTTGACAATTGTGTCTTTTTGCAAGGGTTTCTTTTTTTGAGGTTTTTGACAACTGAAGGTATACGCTCCACCCGTCTGATACAGATGCAAAAAGAGTCATGCAGGATAAGTAAAGTCTAATTAATTTTTCCGTCGCAGACCATCCTCCTCCTACTCCTTTGATAAGCTCAGGCGACAAGCAGTAGTATGATTAGATATGACATGACATCAAAGTCACATGACAGCAGCGATGGTCCTACAATAAGTGGGATATGGGATGGAATAAGCTTTTTCTCTTTCACCCAGTACCATCGCTAGACATGGTCTTTAAGGTAAGCAGTAAATGCATTAAGGAGTAATGCCGGATAAGTATACAAATGTATAAAGTATTTCGATTTTACTAATTTCTCATATTTCGATGATTTTCCTCCATTTTGTGAGAAAAAAAGATTTGTCAGCATGAAGGAAAAAACAGACTGGTACGATTATCTTGAAGTGTAGTCATGTGACCAAGGAGTGACATCATATGTTAGTGACGTCATAGTTGCTAACCTTCAGTCTTAACTCTGTGCACCTAATTAGCAGACAACAGGTAATAGCTACAAATACACCTATGTCAGTGACTGAGTTATAAAGATATGTGAACATGGGTATGCTAATGGCTTAGACTATGGCAATGTAAAATATTACAACAACACAATTGTTCTATTTCCAGGTTTGAAGTTTTGTAAACAGTATTTTGTTGTCATTGCTTGGTCTCTATGATGTAATTTTCCATAACTGAACTGCAGGTATTGACTATTGTCAAGAATTATTGCCCAAATGATACCTATATGTATTTTTGCATTTGTTTAGATGAGTGGGACAGGTACTCCCATGTTGAGTGGAGTGAATGCTATTCATGTTGCCACTGTACTGGAGGACTCTGTGGATCAGCTTGCTGTCCTTGGACGTATTATGCCAGCATCTTATGAATTCCGACCTGATGTTAATGAAGTGAGTAAAAATAAATATAAAGGAATGATGATAAAAGATAAGTATATACTCAACAACAAAAGTTCCCGTGACACCAATATTTTAGTGTATTTTTCAAACAAGTACATTTTGGTTTTCAATTTTGTAGTACATGTATTGAATCAAGTCACAAAAACGCAACTGCTAGAGAAAAGCATGCATTCCATGCAAAAGTTGACTTTAATGCAAGTCCCATGCATTCCACTACCCAAGAATGGGTATAAAAACATGTGCGTTAACAGGATTCCATATGCATTGTTTAGCATTGTGCTGACAACAACCACTCAGAAAAACAACAAAATTACGCAATTATTCAACATTACGAAATGCCACAACTGTCCGAAAATGAGCTTCTGCGAGCCATTGGTATGCCTGAAGCAGGATCGAGTCAACATGATGTTGCAAGACAATTTAACGTCCACAGATGCACCATTTGATGTTTATGGCAACGTTGGCAACAGACGATTGCATTCAGAGACTATCCTCGGAGTGGCAGGCCACGCGTAACCAATAATCGACAAGACAACTGGATTCAACAACACACCTACAAAATCGATTCCAGCCAGCAACAGTGACTGCAAGAAGCATCCCTGGCCTTCGATGAATATCTTCACAAACCGTATGTAATCGACGTAGATGTGCAGGGATTGTCGCCAGAAGACCTACAAGACGTCCCATTTTGACAGGAAACTACCGTCAAGCACGTCTACAGTGGTGCAGACAGCATCTATGCTGGACAGCCATGCAGTGGGGACAAATTCTATTCACTGACGAGTCCAGTTTTCACCTCAGCCACAGCGATGGACGGGTTCGAGTGTACCGACATCGAGGTGAATGTTACGTCAATCATTGTGCCATGGAAGAAGATTGGTTTGAGGGCGGCAGTGTTATGGTATGGGGTGGGATTACAGCAAGACAGAGGACCCGTTTGATAGTGGTGGAGGGAAATCTCAATGGACAGCGCTACCGTGACAAGATCATTGGCCCTGTTGTTCTACTGTTTTTGCATCGTCATGGCCCAGGCATTACCTTTCAACATGACAACGCCTGGCCTCACATTGCTCAACTTGTTCAGGATTCTCTTCAACAAAACAATTTGAATGTCATCCCTTGGCCGGCTCGCTCCCCCGATCTCTCACCAATCAAGCACATGTGGGATGAGATGAATCTGCGCCTTCGACGTCAACAAGGAACACCAGGAACTTCAAAACATGCTCCAGCAGATATGGACAGATATACCACAGGACTTTGTGCGACGCCTGGTCCATTCCATGAGACGAATATGTGTTGCTTGCATCGCAACCAGAGGTGGATACACACGCTATTAATTTGTAAATTGACATTTTGGCATGTTCATGTTTTTTATGAAATCATGCATTTTCTGAAGTCAGTAGGGCAAATTAAACCATTTGAACACTTACAGGAGTCTTTTATCTGTTGCAAACTGAAATTGGTTCAGATTGGGTAAAAAACATAACTTTGCATTAAATCTTATTCAATGTCACAGGAACTTTTGTTGTTCAGTATATTATCCTTCAACACATGAATCTCTGCTGCCCTTGAGTTGGTTGTTAGTGAAAACCATCCCTCAAAACAATTTGATAAATGTAAAAGCAAGAGGCTCTGGTACTGGTCATCTGAATAATATAATAATTTGTTTCATGACCTCATTGTTTTGAAACCATGACAGGTACTTATTCAATTCCTTACAGTACTTAAACATTATTATATTGAAAATTATTTAAAGAATACTGCCAATTGTAAAGATGTAAGTGTTGTCTATATGTGAAGACAGTATATGAGTATAGGAGAGATATCATCATGTTCATGACTAAGTGAGACTATTGTTGCCGACGTATTTTGTGCGCAGTGTAGCTTACTAATTAGGCATTGAGGTGCACCAGCAAGAAGACTCTTCCATTAGCCAATTTAAGACATCACCAAGGAAAGGATGAAAATAATTGTGAAATGTTTAATAACATGTATTCTGATATTTCCAATATTTCTGTGTTGGAAATTCCAAATAACACATGTTCAAAGTAGATTGTACAGGTTCCCACTCATTTGCGGCTCTAGTCATGGTAATTTCACGGGCCCATTGTTGTTCCGTCATTTTGAATTTGCCACATGGCCACGATTACATGTCTTGCATTCTGAATTCTTTTATTTGGCTTGGTTAATCCATTATTCTGTTTTAGCTAATGTTTTGTGTGTGTTTTAAGCATTGTTTTACACTACTTTTGTGTTACTGTTTCTCTTATAAAATTTCAGTTTTTGAGTTACAATATGGCCCCCGTTTTCGGTTGTGTGTTTTCCACATCAATATGACTTATGCCTCATACACTTTGCCATGGAGGCAAATGTACTCAGACACCCCAAGATGTCTAACACTACGAGATTGTCATTCCCACCTTCAGTGACGTCCTTTCATGGGCTTTCAATACTTCCGACGATGACAACCCTGTCTTCCATGGCGCTTCTCAGCACTCACAGCATTCTTCCACGGCATCTCCAGCGCCAATGTTCTTCGAAGAGACTCTTCCACAGTGCCTGCGCTCCTCAACTCTTCCATGGCGCCAGCAGCACCTCCTGGTCACAGATTTTTACCTGGTCTTCTAATGTAGTTAAGGTCTTCCAAAGCAGTTAACCTACCAACCGGTGCCTCCACATGTCCTCCCGCTTTCCTTTATGGATGCATTGTGGATGCAGGCTTGGTGCCTCCTGTGATGTTGATGCCACTGGCCTCGCCTCCTCCCCATATGGCACTTCTTCAGATACAGCGCCTGTTGTCATCGTTGGCGGCACTGGCGCTTGCCTCACTGCCACCTATGTCTAGTACGGACTCTCATCGGCCTAGATTGTCTCATGCCTCGTCCTTTCCTACTACATCCTGACGCAGATCCAAGTTATTTTATTTTAATTGTCAGGATCGTGACTTTCATGCAGAATCCTTAGGGGGATCCTTCCAAACCAAAAGACAGTTTGGTCTGAATCAACTTGTTGACTGGATGGCTGATCTGTTGCACTGTCTCCGGGTAAGGCACCCAATCTGGTCCCTCCCGTCCCCCTTATACTTCCAGACTCTATGTTGACTGTTCTCACCGTGGCACTGGGCAAGGACTTTTTTTATGCTCTCCTTAACCCCATCGTTTTAAGGGCCCCGCTTTAGGCTGATGGAGCTCACATGTTAGTTGAAGACCAGCTTTGTTTTCATCGAATAGGAATTTCTTTGCTCTTGAAAGCCTCGCCATGTCACACCTTCACAGAACTCCGGAAATCCACTTATCTGCCTACTACACAGCTCACTAAAGATTGCCCGTATTTGGAGCTTGCACCTCGTCTCTACCTTCATGACACCTCAATATAAGAACAGGAGTGCTTATATGGCACCCAGGGGATTGAACTGGTCACCTTACTTCATACGGTGTGATCTTTCAGAACCACAGTTTTACAGAAATTCAGTCTTATCTTTTGTTTACAGCTTCGACTTCCCACTAACCGGTTATGTCGATGCCTCAGCGATTGGTTGAAGAGAGGGTTTATTTCGTCTACATGCGGTTTGGCATTCACTTTCAGACGAACTCACTTTTCCATACATCGTCAAGGCATGACATCTCGTTTTTTGTCTCATGTGTCAGCGCCTAGGTCATCCCAACAAGGCCCTTGTTGCCACTTGCCAGAACTCCCTGTTCACACTGTTTGTCTCTCAAGGAGGCTTGGGCTGTGGATGCATTCAGCATCCCACAGTTAAGGGCTAAGAGTGTAAGCTTTCCACCTCCAGGGTCCTTCAAAAGATCTGGTTGAACCAGAGCCTCGCTCTGACTTTGGTAGCAAAGAGATGTCCGCCATCGACCACCTCAAACTACCAGATTGGCCAAACCTGCTGATCCACCCTCACAGCCTGGTCCATCTACAAAGAGCCCTAAGCGCCAAGGGTGACTCAGCAAGGGCAGCACATGCACGTCCCTTGGCGCACAGACCTTCTACCAGGGGCCTTTATGATGACAAGTGGCACTCTTCCAAGAGTTTCTGCAAGGAGAAACACCAAACTTCCACCTCTGCATTGCCCCAGTTCTTGGCTGCATTCCTCCTCTGCACCACAAGCAACGTCTGAGGGGCAGCAACATCACAACCTCCCTTGTAGCCCTGAACTCTGTTTTGGCTGTTCAGAAAAATTAAAAGGTGACCAAGATTCCTGAACTCCAGGCACTTTGAGCTCGGAGCCCATGGGGCCATTCATCTTGGACCATGCTCGGACTTCATAGCCAAGAATCAACTCACAGGACAGCCGGACAGATCCTTCACCTTTCCGCCCATCTCTTCTTTAGAGGGGGTTGAAGATCTACAGGTACTTCTATGTCTTGTGTGTGCGTGGCGATGCTTCATTCGACACTCCAAGGATCTTTGAAGCCGACACCGCCGCCTTTTCATATCGGTATTTAGGACATCGCAGGTGGAAGTCAGCCTCCACACAATCGTCACACGAGATCCGGGGGGTCGTCTCACAGCAACTGCTCCATCCCCACCAAGATCTGACATTTTAAACTCTCTGGTGCTTGTCACCCAAGACTAGAAGGTTTACATGCTGCGCACATTGGCTTGGTACGTCAGTTCTAGTTCTTTAACTTTGCTTCAATTCTATTACTGCAATGATACCTGGACTTCCTGCTTGCTTCACACTCTTGCTGCATGCCAACTGGAATGGTCACTCAATGCCAGACACCGCTGTTCCTGATTGGCTGGTGCTTATGGAGAGATTATTGTTGATCGCATCTGAAAGTATGCCCACCTGCCTTACCATCTGATAAAGATGCATTAAGGAGTAAAGCGGGATAAGTTAAAAAATTTAGTAAAATCTTAATATTTCTTACATTTGTATACTTAACCTGCATCACTGCGTCAAAAGTGCCCTCTCTTCGCTGCGCTACCTCCTCACGAAGTTTCAGATGTTATGTTTGAAGCAGTAATGTAACATCGCTTCCGGGTCATGTGCCAACTGTGTGAGGGTACTGCCAGTCAACTGGTTGGAACAACCTTTTTTTCAGCAGCTGGACCTCTCAGAGTTTGTCTTTTTGTCAAAAAACAGCAGTAAATGCATTAAGAAGTAAAAAGGATTTAGATTTTACTAATAGTAAATTGTGTGAACAAACTGACCACACTTGACGCAGAACATGGTGATAGGCATTATTGTGAGCTGTATAGTTTTACCAGAAATTGAGAATTTTTCATACCAACAATATTAACCAGATCAAAGGTGAAAATAGAAAATAAAATTTCAATCTCATTAAAATCAGATCTTAGTTCTCGCTACCGCTAAACAAAGATCAGAGGACATTCCATTACGGGTCACGTCAGACCGACCGACCGATTTGTCTCCCTTGGCTAAAGCTAGCAAACACAACCACTGTGGAAATGGAAGCTTTGGAAAAGAAGAAAGATTATTTTTGAATTATACAATCAAGGAATCAGATCAGCATGGGTCATATTAGAGAGATCAGACATTCCACTATCAACTATTAACAGTGTTTTAAAAAATCCTGAAAGTGGAGATGGAATTGAGCACAAAAAGGGAGCAGGTAGGCCAAAGAAATTGACTGTTGGTGACAGAAGTTGACTTGGTTTATTGGCGTCTATAAACAGATGCATTAGCATTAAGAAAGCATTTGCCTGCAGTTGATTGAGAATTCCATCACCACTCCTCTGAACAACAAGACCGACGTTTGAATTGGTGTTTGGAGCATCAATTGGGATAATGTTATGTTCTCAAATGAAAGTTCAATGTGGTGTCCAAACTGCATAAAAATAGGGACCAAATTTACTATCAAAGTAGTCCTAAATTTCATGTGTGGGGTAGGGTGTCTGTGTTTTGGGGCCACACCATTATGTGTATTTGAAGGTAACATGACTAGTTCAGTGTACACTGACATTGTACAGGGACATCTTCTTCCAACAGCACAAGTTTTTGTCTGGTGACGGATGGTTATTCCAGCAAGACAGTAAACCAAAATAAAGAGCGAAGCATTCTCAGGAATGGAATGGTTTAACGAGCAAAATGTTACACTGATGGAATGGACCAGCTGCAGTCCAAACCTGAAATCTAATTGAACATATTTGGGGAATCATGAATCAATTTTAAAAATGTTTAAAAGTTATGTGGTATGAAAACAGACGTTGTGAGATATTGAGAAAGCATGGCTCATGATTTTTTAACTTCCCTGACATTCAATATGCCTCGCCGCATTATAGCATGTATTACTCTTTGTGAATGCGTACTTGACGATAGACAAAGTAAAAAGTTGATACCAATTCCCATTTCAGTCTCTTCAGTGTATTGCCAGATATTTCCCTTGTGTCACGTGTGGCTCAGTAAATATTCTGAAGGATTGTTTGGCTTGAGTTGTTTTACTCTAGATCCTGTACTTCAGATCCTCTGTGTGTCACGTGTCAAAAGCACTCGATTATGGAGCATTAATCTTACATGTTAGATGTTGATGTGACAGGTGATACAGGATAAGTGAAGAGGGCGTCCCGTAGAACACAGCCTAATCCAGACGTAATCCGGGTGGTTACAAACATAGCTGAGATCTGTGGGAAAAGCATCGTAACGTGTTATGTCAGGATAAGAAATAATCTACACAAACTTAGATTCTCATGTGATTAGTATACTTATCCCGACACAACAAAACTTTCTGTCTCCCAACTGACGTTAAAGTGGAGCGTTGATGAGAAGACAGTGGAGGGATCAGGGACATATAACGCCTGTTAGTAGCTAAGTACTGGGGGTGCCCCAGAGGAGGAAAATGCACATTTTGGTTTCTGTGTTACATAAGATTAAAGTCCACAAGGAATTTGCAATGTGTTTTGTCAGGATAAGAATACAAATATCATGAATATGATGGCACATCGATAGCACCGTGGCTGTTCACTTGGATAACAACCCTGATCATTGGCTTTGCACATCTACGCCTGGTCAGACACTACCATTACAAAGAGGACGTCCTCTCCACAGATCACGACAAAGTTAAATTCTATCAGAACACGTTCTTTCTGATACAGTTGCTGTCCTATCTGGGATTCTTAAGGAGGAGGAGCAATATCTCAGTCAAGGGACATGATTTTGGAAGCACACGATCACACCAACAGATGTCATCATTGGTGTATGTCATGCCTGTGGTGCACTAACCTCTCTACAAGATCTACAGGGGAAGACTTTGTTTAAGCCCTATACAAACATGGATGAACTCCACAAGATCACTCAATCTAGAGGCACTAGTACATCATCCCTAAAGCATGTTGAATGAACTGAATTAGTGGCTGGATCATCTCAAAGTGATGAGAGAAATCCCCCTGATGTTCCCCTCACCAAAACATCATTTGTACACCTGTAACACACAGTTACTCTTTTCGTCATGGCACTGTGGAAATCCATTCAGCTGTCCTACCAGACCACATCTATTGGAATGTGTCTGCACTCAAAACCTATCAGCTTCCATTCCTCGGTGGCACAACCATACTATGGATGATGTGGTGGCAGCTGGCCAGTGCGCATCTTCCACTATCGTACCCAGGTTCCTTCTCTGCTGTCCTTGAACCCCTGGGAATTTGCTATCACAAATGACTACAAAAGGCTCATTTCATTTAGACCTTTTAATCTTGAACTATGTGTTTTTGCATACATTGGGATAAGTCAAAGAATTTTATTGGATGACCAATCGAAAATATTCTCACTTTGACCCACAAATAAAGGCACATCCAGACTGTGGAAGTAACAGTCTTCAGCAATGTATAAATTTACCTTAGTATCTATTTGACACATTTTTATAATCACCTTTCAATGATCAGCCAATTGATGACTGATGACTTACGCTTGGAATTACCACAGGTTCATAAACAACTTCAGAAATCTCTCCCGTCAAATGAGACCTTATTCATCCAGTGATGATATGATTTGAATCTATTGGTTGAAACCAAACTCCAAAAGATGTTCCTGTGGAGCAAGTTGAACATGAAAGATGATCGTGCACCCTGTCCTTTTCATGAACTATTTTATGCCGCGTTACAGTTGGTTGTTGTGTGGCTGTCAGTGTAAACATGAAGTAACAAATACTAAATGAAACTGTGTAAAACATCCCTTGAGGCTTAAGGTATCAAATAGTGATATGAAAAGTTATAAGAATTGACTTTGATTTTGTGTAAGTTCATTGGAGTTTGAACCTTCATAGAGGGAGGCCCAAATTTTGGGAACATCAGAGCTTGTGACTCACATAAAATGAAAGACAATTCTGTGTTGTCTTTCATGCTTATGTATATGTCCAGATTTGACCTGTGTGGCATTTTTCTTTAAGATGGTGAAAGAAGAGGTCAGCCAGTTGGTAGCAGGCCAGAAAGATCTAGAAAATAAGTATCAGTCTGCGCTTGTCAGGAAATTAGAGCTGAAACACACAACAAAGAATGCTGGAAAGTTGGCAGAGGTTGAGGAAGATGTTCTCAGCACAGGCAGAGATCTCAAGAACAGCCTGCATACATTTGGAAGAACTTTACGGCAAAACCCTGTGACTGGAGATAATATTGCTAAAATTCAAGATGACAGGTAAATGGAGAATAACTAAGCATTTTTGTTGTAGATCATCCTGTTGTTTCTGAGCAACATACCATTTTCTTCCTGAAGGATTTACTATCATGGAAACATTGTGTTTTGTGTGGCTATTTTTAGTTAAGGTCAACCTTTCCAAATCAAAATGCTCAAGAAATTAAGCCAAATTATTTTGGAAAGCTTACATATGATTGGCTGAAGAACCCATATATCCTTTATTTTGACTGACAATCAAAGTTTCCTCAGGGTTCATCTCAAATGACATTTGGAGCTTTGATGGAGTATGAAAATAAATTTAAGGGATAGGGATTAAAACAGTTAATATTTAGCATTAGGATCCAAGCAGTTATGATTACAGCTGCATGAATTGTTTTGTAGCTTTCCTGTTGTATTACTGAGATTTAGTATGGTATATTGGCATCCATACTTACGTAGTAAACATAAACTTACATTTCCAGCATCTCATTTGAAATTGCTATGAAGCTTATATTCCAAATGGTTTTGTTAACTATAGTAATTGGACAATTAATTTTATAAATAGTTTACAGAAAAGTTGCACTTGATATTGTAATTACATTTATGTTTATCTTGGTTTTACCTGCCAATATTACCTTTGATACCTACTGAACATTTAAGCAATGCTATCATGAAAAAAATAGTTTCAGTGTTAACTTGATGGATTTGTTTTTTAAATTATCTTGAATTTGATCATGTATGAGATTTTTGAGGATCTTTGCTCTTTCCAATTTTAATTGATATATAGTAAACAACATATGGTAATCAACTGCAGCTGCAGTATATAATTGTGCAATACTTCTACATTTTTTCAAAACTGTTGTACTAATGTGTTTCAACATAAATTCAATGGATAAAGTAAAGAATCAACATTTGTAAAAACAATTTAAAATTTTCATTAGCCAAGTTGATAAAACATGACATAGCTGTCACTTATTTAACAAGTACAACATTGCCGTAAACCAGCATGAACATATGCACAGTGTATTAGAATGTCTATCTCGTTTTCAGGGATTTTGTACAATGTGTGATGGTGAACACTATGGACGAGCTTATCCACAACTGCAGTTTCCAAGCCCTGCTGGATGCAGTGCATTCAGAAAAACAGAGAAAAGCTTCACTACAGAACACAATACAGAAGTGAGTGATAAAAGTTACAAATGAGATTAAATAACCTTGAATGATATTGATGGATTGGGACTAATATGCTTAACACAATTTGAGGGCTCATCCAAATTATGGAATTTTACGACATCAAAATGCAAAAACAGGAAATACAATTTCAAGGTGGAATAATAGGAGCATAACCATTACGGATTATTTGTCCCAAGTGAATGAATGGTGTTAAATCCCGAGCTTTGGCATTTTTCTTTTCTCAGTATTCATTCACAAGGGACATATATTATCTGTCTTGAATATTTATGAAACAAATTTGATTGAACTTAGTAAACCTGATCACAAAGGTGGGTGTCTCAATCATACCAACTTGATCAGGGTCACTAGAGGTGAAATTATGAAACATGGTCAACATTTCCAAAAATGATAGATTAGTTCATGAAAAATCAATATTTTTAAACTTATCCTGTCTCACACTTTGCATTTCTCCCTTCTTCATCGATCCTATGTGGGAACGTGCTTGAATCATGTTTCCAGCTTCTGAAAATAAATATAGCAACCCAAACCCCCCTGCATCTCCATGGTTACATCCAAAAGCTAGGACGCAGTGCCTGCTTGAACTGACCATGTGTACGCCTCTACCAATTCATTCTCTTTCTCATCGCCTCTGTGTGGCAACGTGTTTGAACATCACAGAATTGTTTGTCCTATGCCAAGTTGTCGAGTATCCTAAATAATATGGGAAAAAAGGACAAACAACGTCCTGCTTGTAAAGAATGCAGACGTACCTATTCCACGTCAGATCCCCACTCATTATGTTGCGACTGTCGGGGACAGTGCACCCTGGGATCCCGATGTGCGGAATGTCATTGCAGATCACCATTCTAAAGCGGGTGATTTCTAAGCTAGTTCCAGCCCATCACGCCCTAAAGACAATCCTGTCGAGCCTGTAATTTCTGTCACAGACGAGACCCACTTAGACAACCTTCCTTACAGACGATTTGTTGACGCACGACCTGTCTACCACTCCAAACAAGAAGATATGCAGGTCAATGTGTGCTCAGTCTGTCTGATCAACCTGGGTCCCGCTCTCGTTATAATGATTGCTCCAGTCTATTTAAAATCCCGCTCTTGGATTCAGCTCTCACTACTCCCCCCGGGGCTAGAGAAAGGGCCGTCGATATGACTTCATTGTGGCTCGTTTTAGATCGTCACACTTCAGTATGATGTTCACCCTCCAAGACGACAGATTGGCACTCCCGCTCCCACGATTGGCGCTCTCATTCCAAGGATCAGGGCTTTCGCTCACGGGATTGACATTCTCGCACACAGGATCAGCATTTTCGATGGAGTTACCGTGCTCGCTCCTCAGCTGATATCGAACGCTCACACCATGATCATCATCATTTCCGCTCCCGATTGTCTTCAATTGACCACCCGTCGGACAGTTCTCTCTACGGCAGAGATTGGTCATCAATCGTTGAGTATCACCCAAACTCATTAAAATCAGATCTAAGTTCTCACTGCCGCTAAACAAAGATCTGAGGACATCCCATTACAGGTCACGTCAGAAGGACCCTTCGCGAACTTTGGCCAACCACTGAAACAACAACAAGAAGTCGACATCAGCCAATTAGAAAGCAGCTTTCTCGAGCTTTATGGCACTCGTTTCAACCTGGCGACTTCCATTTCAGACTCCGCTTGAAAAATATGTTGATACAGTGCGCGATTAAAATTTTGATAGCTGAACAAATGAACATTCCGGAATGTCTAATAAATGGTTGCGATTGTATGGCAGTGCTTCCCACGTACTTGCAATGCCTCCTCCGTTTAACTGTTCATCCAACGGAAGCGAGAGACAGAAGATAACTTTGACAAATCAGTCTTATGGGCCGTAACTGTCGTTTGGAATACCCCGTTTTAACCTTTTCGAGGTTGCATGATTAGAAAACACATTCCGACTGTCACTTTCATGATCTGGTAAGTGACGCTTTGATTGGTCTGATGAAAGGTCGTTCTGACATGACCCGTAATGGGATGTCCTCAGATCTTTGTTTAGCAATAGCGAGAACTAAGATCTGATTTTAAGTAGAGATTGAGTATCACCATAGCGGCTATGCTCACTTGACCTTTTCAGCGGTTTATGCCTACGTGGCTCGTCACAAGGTATGGGATGCCTACCAGATCTACGATGACTCTTATTACCAGCCTCCTGGATACCCTTACTCACGGTTTCCTGACCACCGCTCTTCTTCCGGCTACGCCTACCTGCCTTACAGTTGATGTCAACGCGCATGTTGACGGGGAATTAGCTCTTCAGGGAATAAAGAACAAAATCGACATCACTGTCCCGGAACGCTTTATGCACAACATGTAAACAATAAAAAACAATTGCACAATGAGCAGAATACCTGATCTGACAACCTAAACACAGCGATTAGCAGACCTTCCAGCTCAGGCATACATGAGGTGAGCGGAGCTCCAGCTCACCTCAGGGCGTTTCCTACGAGCGGAACATCCTGCTCGAGGTCGTCCCTACTCAAGCACTCGAAATACCAAGCTTGACTAACACTGTGTAATGGTAACACATATATAGTAATGAACAACAATGGACAGACAATGATGTTACTTTGGACATTGGACTTCTGGGGGTGATGAACCAACACAGCTCAGCGGATGAACAGTTAAGGCAATAAATGTCATACTATAAATAACAGTAATTAACGGGAAGTGATATAGTAGCCCAGGTTGGCTGACAGTCAATATACAATAAAATATTGGTGAGGATTAACAACGGGGATTAGCGCCTAATACATAATGACAATCAAGTTATGGAGACATGCACATGTCATGGCTACCGGGTAATTAGCCTTTTAAATCAAATTTTCTTCAGACAATGGTTGTCGTAAATCAGTCGCTATGACAGTTCACAGGATTGGCGTTCGTCATCGCATAAAGAACGTGATTGTCGAAGTCATTCTCGGAGCCGGGTTGTAATCCTTCTAGGTCGGCTCCTCCCGACCCTTGTCCACCTATCCTACCCATAAGTTGGGATCACAGAGATCAACAACAGACTTTGGAACCATCGTTCAACTCTCTGAAAGCAATATCCACTGTCCTCCTTCATCGACTCCTCAACATACTGATCCTGTTCCGGTTTCGGTTGCCTCCTGCTCGACCCCTCCTGGATTGGGTGGTTCGGCCTCTAATTCGGGCGATCCCAACTGACAGTTCACACCCGTCAGGCGTTCTTGATGATCCCTATTCAACGCCTTCCTCGGTTGGGAGTTTTGAAACAGCGAACCCTGAATTGGTCATACATTGGATAGCTGATACACAGCGGACGACTTCGGCTGCAGAAAGGTTCTCTGGATTCGCAGTTTCATCGGCTAGTTCGTCCAAGATCACGCTCCCTTCCAGACCGGTCTTACTGGACCTTAACTCTAACCTAGATATGGCTTTCGCGGCCTTTCGTCGACTACGGGATCATCTCCATATCCCCCGCTTCATCCTTGCAGACACAGGCACTCATGGCATGTCTACTACGGTCGCCTCCCCCGATATTGACAGTGATGTTTCTACTCTTCCTCAGAAGCCCTCAACCTCGTCTTACGTGTTTGAAGATCGGAACATAACGCACTTGGATGCCACAGTCCGCCGTACCCTCCCACTCGTGTCTGCTATTTTGTTAGCCATGGAGGCGCTCTCCGTCCCTCTCTCCTTTCATTCCCAAGAAGAGGCCTTTACTCAGGGATTAATCAACCTTACACAAGACAAGCTTAAGCAGATTTGGACCTCCTCACTCACAAGGCCGCTCCATGACGGCTCTTCGTCGCCGTGATGTGCTGCAACATTCTTCCTAGGATGACCAATTTAAGGCCAAACTGTATCAGCAACCCTGGTCTTCCCGCTCCTTATTTGCTGACGCGATACAACAGGTTGCACAGGACGTGCAGAGAGATTCTAGCCTTCAGGTCACGGTGGACCTTTTTCTCCAGAAAAGACAATTGGAGGATCAACAGTAAAAGGATCGCCAATATCCCCAATTTGTTCCTTCTTGTTTACGTGAGCTTATTTCTTCCCGGCCTAATCCCTTTCGAGGGCGAGGCAGAGGCCGAAGAGGTCAACAGGGCTTGAAGCCCTCCTTGGGTCGATGAGTCTCCTTTACCGGACCCAAGGGCGTATGCAAACCTTCCCAAAAGGGAGGTTCGGCAGGAACTTGACCCTGTATAAATTGGCACGACTGGGAACTTCTGCCCCAAGTCGTACCCATTACAGCCACGCCCGTAGGCGGAAGACTCGGGATCTTTGCAAGCAATTGGACCATGCTCGCAGACCCCTTCGTGACGCAGCTGCTTCAACAAGGGTATCGATAACCATTGATCACACCGCCACCTACAACGCTCCATCCCCATCTGAGAATGTATCCGGCCAGGCAGCTACCAACATTGATTGACACTGTAGGAACGTTACTAGCAAAAAACGCTATCGGATGTCTCGACGCGCTTCCCGCGACCCCCGGGTTTTATTCCCCCATTTTTCTTGTCCCCCCAAAAGGACAGTTTAAAACAGGCTCTTTTTCAACATGAAGACTTTCAACGCTATGTATCTCGAAACCCTACCACAGTTTCGCATGATGTCGAATGCCTCATTCGTACGCTCATTCATCCTGGCGATTATATGGTCAGTCTCGATCTCCAAGACGCTTTTCTGCACATTCCCATCCATCAGAGCCCTGTCAATTCCTCCGGTTCGTTTTTCAAGACCACCATTACTAAGGTGCTCTTGTTTGGAATTTCTTCGGCCCCGTGGCTTTTTACCCGCCTGACCCGACCCATCAAGAAGTTCCTACATCTTCGCGGGATTGTGTTCGATTCTTATCGAGACGACTACATTCACGTTCACGCAGATGCCGACTTCCTCCGTCTACAGCTCGCCTTCACAATGAGTCTTCTCAGACAACTGCTAATCAACGAACGAAAGTCGAAACTCATTCCCACCCAACGTCTCCAAGTCATAGGAGCCCTGTTCAACACTCGGCAAGGTCTGATGTTCGTTCCCCGCTATTGGTGAGTGAAGATTCAACGTCTCATACCGTTAGCACTCGAACAGCCGTTTCAACTGCGCCAATGGCAACAACTCCTGGGCTTCCTGGGCTCAGGCGCTCACTCTACAGGGTCGACTTCATTTGCGACCTCTTCAATGTTTTCTCGCGCTCTTTATCAGGATCAAAGATTGTCACACGCCAATCTCTCTTCCGCTTAATCTCCACCCTCATCTTCAATGGTGGCTGGTTGCGTCGAACATTTGCGACGGAGTCTCCTTGACACCATTTGTCCCGTCCCTCTATCTGTTCGTCGACGCTTGAACCGTCGGTTGGGGAGCACATTTTCAAGTAGCAGGGCGGTGTTCTAACGTGGAACGTTGCCTTCACGTGAACAATCTTGGGTTCAATTTCGCATTGGTCAAACCTCCTCCGGTCCTCCTCCCTCATGATCCAGTCCGACAACGCGGCGGTAGTGTGGTCCATTAACAGGATGGGATCCACGAAGTCGATGTCCCTACTCTCACTTGCTCTCGAGTTCTTTTATCTCATCGACTCCCTCAACATAATGTCTGCGCCCGGCACATTTGGGGGATATCCAACGTCATAGCAGACTCCCTGTCCCAACCAGATAGACCATCACCAACCGAGTGGTCTTTTCATCCACCAGGCGCCTTTATGACCACAAGTGGACAGCCTTTGAGACTTATTGTCGCGCTCCTGATATTTCCTCTCCTACCTTGGTTTCGCCTCAACAGATTGCCGAATATTCACATCACCTGCGTTCGACTCAGAAACTTCGGGGATCCACGTTGGCAACCTACACCGGTTGATCATGTGTGTTTTTCCCGCTCAAGAATTCATGTCTGTTAGACGCTAGACAGTTTTCAAAATTTGGAAAACAAATTCAAAATTACACTGTCTAGACCCAGCTTCCTCGTGCATATCTCACGGTTGTAGTCTATACAGGCTAGGGTATATGCGGCCCACCATCCAACCGTGGGATAAAATGCAAAGTGTGAGATAGGTTTAGTTTAAAAATTTGGAAATTAGTATAAATTGTATATTTATATACTTTATACTTATCCTATCTCACACGCGATAGGCCCACCCGAAGATGCCCGCATCTCATTTACTCTTGCCTAATAAGCTCTGCGAAAGAGAATGAATTGGTAGAGGCGTACACGTGGTCAGTTCAAACAGGCACTGCGTGCACGAGAGCTAATTGACCTAGCTTTTGGATGTAACCATGGAGATGCCGGGGGGGGGGGGGCTTGGGTGGCTATTTTTATTTTCAGAAGCTGGAAACATGATTCAAGCACGTTCCCACATAGGATCGAAGAAGAAGGGAGAAATGCAAAGTGTGAGATAGGATATAAGTATATAAATATACAATTTATACTAAAATTTCCAAGTTTTCTCAATGTCAGTTCAGATGAACTCATAGTGACTTTGTCCTGTCAATACACAATTTCACCCCAAACAATATGTAGTTTACATTACAAATATAAGGTCAAGGCATGATTTGGACACCTACTGTCACTGGTTACAATTCTACCATGGCAACATAATTCTGATTGCAACTATTTCAAATTATTTTCAACTTAAAATAGATAAATCACCATCCCACTTCCTCTTCAACTTCTTTGATCTGATACTAAATCCCAAATCTGTTTTACTTTTTTCACTATTCTATTTTAATGTTCTGCTCCAGAGAGGAAAATGGTCGGAAACGTGTCCGTCAACTTCACAAGCAACTGAGTGATGTTAAGAAGGAAAAAGAATTGGAGATGCAACAGAGAAATGAGATGATTGCGCATCTTAAGGATCAGCTTCAGGAAATGAAGGCTAAGACCAACATGGAGGGAAAGTACATCAAGAAATGTGCTGAAGTTGCTGTTACACAGACACAGAAAAGATGCTTTCTGTCAGAGAAAGAAATGAAAGAAGAGATAGAGGTAAATTATGTTGCTTTCAGAATAAAGTTTATATGCATGGGTTAGGGTGGGTTGAATAATTTGTGGTTGAAAAGAAAACAACAATACAGCATGGTACAATATTAACTTATCACATGATAAGGATATCTATTTCAGGAGAAATGAAACAGCTTTCTTTCAGTCACGTAACATATTCTATATTTCCCTGGCTACAGCCATCATGCGACCTTGAAATGAAATATCCAAATTTGTCAACTACATGTTCACTGTACTGTGATTATACATCACAAAGAACTTACTTTAAACAACTCCTATATATACTCCCCCAAAAGAAATGATAAATACAATGTATGTGGTTTTCACTTATACACATTTTCCCAAGGCAAGGGAGTTAACTGACTATATAATCTTAGTTTCCACCCTTTTAATTTTATGCATTTTGTGATGTAAACCCATTTTGTAACAATGTAGATCTTGATTATCAATCGGACGCCAATTTGTAAATGCAAATGCAAATAACATGGATACAAACTGGACTTTTACAGTCAGTTAACTCTCTTGCCTTAGGAAGATGACTTATACTAGGCTTTAAAGCAATACATGAGACATGTGTATGTTTGGAAGTTTTACAAATCGAAGCAAAGTTTATCAAATGTCAACAGAAAAATCTTTGTATGTCCAATTTATGTCACTATCTCAAGATTGGCAATCAGAGTCCTGTGTGTGTCAACCATTGGCCTGAATGACTGCACGACACCTGCCAATGGAACCATGAAGCCTGCTTGTGACACCTTGTGGAATGGCAGGCCAGTCGTTTTGAAGAGCTTGGTGTAATTGCTGCAGATTCTGTGTCTCTGGTTAACAGTGATGTACACATGTGACACTGATTTAAAATCGGTTGAAGTCTTGTAAAACAGCAGTACGTTCAAGTTCTGAGATGGCTCCCAACATCATGACAATTCCTCCACCCAAAATGTCGCCTTCTTGAACACCACATCTCATATAGTGCTAATTCCTAAAGAAGGAAAGGGGATTCGTTACTAAGGCTAAAAAAAAATAGTCTTGGTTCTCAGGCACCGCCCACATCATTATAAAGTTCGCCGCATATTTCGTTTTTATTTCCATTTAAAAAAAATAAATGAAAAATCCTTAAATCCTTAAGTCCAACAAGAGTCAAATACTGTATTCCAGTATTTTACTCATCAAGGAATACATTTATGTGGGGAGTCCCTTTCCCAGGTTGATTGTACACAATTGTTTATTAATTACACAACTGTTTATTGGTTACGTACTAGTTTGGACAACCAAAATATTTTAAAAAAGACACCACCCGCCCGCACTATATTTTCAAAAAACATTGCCTAGGAACCAATTCTTTTATTTTTTTAAGCCTAAACCAAACACTTTAGCAATGTTAGGGAAACACTACTGCAGCCACTGAAGCTGATTACTTTCAGTTACAAGAATGCAAATGTAGCTCCTTGTTGCTCCAATTCCAGCTGCTTATGAACTGTTACAGACTGTCTTTTAGATATATGGGACAGATGATGAAGGACCCAGATGAAGCAATCCTGGGCTGCTGTGTTGATGTAGGGTCTCCCTCATCTTGTGCAATCTCTTGTGGTGCCATGTTGCGGATATCGTGACCAAAAATGGGAATTTGTTCTCTGGGAAGCTTTAAAATGCCTTAACACTGATGCATGTGATTCACCAGCTTTAAGTCTGCCAACAGCGTTATTTCTCTGATTATTATTGAGTCTTGGCCTGATGATAGTGAACTGAAAGATTTGTGAAAACAACATGTATCATAAGCTTGCTCAAGAAAGATGTGACAAATTCCAAGACTTGTACGTGAAAACTGCTCTTCAGTTTCCTATGCTCTTCAGTTTCCCAAGAAACTAATGATGTAAACTTCAAAGGTTATTGATATCAACTCTGTAAAAGGCACTTTTTCAATTAAAAAGAATGTGTAGACTTTCTTTTCACTCTGCAGTTCAACATGGAATACTCCACAATATTTAACATTTGAAAATATTACCACCTATGTATTTCTTTATTATTTTTAGAGTATATGTTTAGGTGATCATTTTGAAGGTCAAGGCCACTACACTGTTGTATCTTGTAACAATGTTGTACAATAGTATATTTATTCTTACAGGTTTAGAAACATTATGGAAATTCATTTAATTGTATCATATTTATTCGTTCTTTTCCCTTTAGTATTTATGCAGTATACATTTGAATAGTATTAGTATTGTTTACAGCAACTTTTGTTGAGTGGTTTTGTTGACATTTAAACTGTTGATGACAAATCCATATGACTACTGTGCTGTGGTTAAGTTACAAATGTAAACCAAGTGCAAACTGTACACTGTACTCATATCTCTGCTATTTTTATGCCATGTTTATTACAGAAATTACAGCGACAAATAGATGAAGAGACTAGAGCAAATGCAGAGATAGAATCTTATTTGAGGTCCCACCATGCAGTGAGTAATTTATTGTCATAATAACAGTTTCTCTAAATCTGACACATCAGAAGACTTTCTGGTATCAACAGCAAGAGCATTACTTTACAATGTTGTGAAAATATCAACTTATCTTAGAAGATAATTGCAGTTTTCTACTGGATGAATTCATGTCATATTCTCCTTTTTGTTGTAGTCTCAACATATCATAGGACCAGATGGAAGAGTAATTTCTATGGTAGATGCATGAAAATACAGTCATGTGTAAATTCTTATCACAAATCCTCTTCAAACATGTTGTACGCTGTTTGTTTTCACATTATTGTATGTGGTTGCTGAGAGTTCATTGAAGCATTAGAAATTAATGACAGCACACACATCCTTTTGTTATGTTATGGTCATAGTGAAGGTCAATCATAAAGTTTTGTTTGCTATTTTCACTAAGATGCCTTTTTCTTTCTTTTTCAAGTATTGGCCATGCAGTGGTTTTATTGTTTGAATACGTATTATGACAAGTAATAAAAAATCTTTCAATGTCAAACGTAAGTTGACCTATGGACACACAATGCCATTTAGAAAGTGGTCAAATGTAACAAATGTTATATTTGTGATAACACTTTCTTAGTGAAATCACTCAGTCCTTGGATATCAAGTATATCTTCTTTATAAACCAGGGAAATCATATTTGCAGATTGATATTGTCATTAAGTATTGTAGCATTTCATTGTCGCGAGATTGTGTGTTCGAGATGTGGATTTTTTTTTAGATTTGAAAATGGAAATAAAAATTCAACATGCAACAGACTTTATGATGATGCAGGCACTGCCTGTGAACCAAGACTATTATTTTTTTAGCCTAACTCAAAGTGAAGTTAATCACTCAAAAGTACATTATGGTTACAATATCTTAAGTGTTTTGTAATGGGATGACATTTGGAACATGTTTTTTAGCATTCTAAATATGTTATCCCAAGCTAGAAATGATATTATTCATCCGAAGATGAACTTGCTGAACTAGGTTGCAATCATTGAGTTATACTTTGGCTGTACTAACAAGTCTATGGATAGTCCACTAAGAATCTCGAACAAACATAACATTGTGTTCCTAAACAACATGGCGACTAGCATGCAGGTTTCGGTCAAATTCAGGATTTGCAGATTGTGTGTACTATTGCCTGGGTATCGAGAGATATTTTTAAAATCTTTTCATGTTTTTAGTGTAGGTGCTCAAGTGATTTGATGCTCTATAGGAAGTAAGACCCATTTTTTTAGATAAAGATTTTGATTATCGATCAAATCCCCAGGACAGGGTGACAGCAGGGTATGAAACTCCCCAAAATTTCAGCCAGACCACAGGACTGGCTAGCTGAAATACTTGCCAGCCCTGACCAAAACCTGCCTGCCCACTATAATCATATGTTTCTCAGGATAAGCTAACGGGGTTCTTTTTGGTTACATTTTATCATTCATCTTTACATGTGAATTAATGCTTATCATCGGGAAATATTTAGAATATTTTCACATATAAAATATAACCCGACCGTCGGGCAGGGGGATTTGAAAATCTGGCAGCCCGAGTTGAAATCAACCCATCTCGGACGGTCGGGCAGGCAGGTATTTCGAACACTGGTGAAAGCATTCATTTTGTTTGAAGCAAATGCAGGTGATATGAGAGGTGGAATCAGATTGGTCAATAGAAGGGACATAGAAGGGACATAACTCGTAATAGCCACTGGTGGCACTACGATCGATCCTGGTAATTCGGCAATTGCCTAGTTCTGCAATGGCTGAAACGGTAACTTTTACAGTCAGTTAACTCCTTTGCCTGGGGAATATGGGAACTTTGTGATTTAAATAGGTGTAGGCACAGGGCTCTCAAAGTTGGTTATCATTGGGCTTGTGTTCACTGGAAGTGATGGAATGGAAGTGCTTATCGCTTTGTTATTAAGGTAGCTAGATGTACCTCTTTGGAACATTCAGGGTAATGTTGGGATTGGGCTGCTTCCGTTTTTGCATGTAATGCAACCTCATTTCTAGTTTGTAGTTGTATGCATGGATCTGGATGAGGTGAATATATGTGCACGCGAATGACAATTTTGAAACAATGACTGATACATGCAAGCGCAGAAGCATATTGATGTTATAATAGTTCAGGGCAAAACTATACTTTATTTCACTACACATTGGTGTAGAGCAAACTCTATTACTTTTCTAAGATGACGAATATAAGAATAACCTCAAATAGGACTAACTGACAGGCTCTTCAACCTAATTGCCTGATCCCTACGTTAAGAGACATATTTAAGTTTTGAGCATGATACAACACCGCTAAAATGGGTAGTTTATTATTTACAAAGGTCATATATATTTCATCATCCATTCAGTGTGTGGTTATCCTTGATCCCATGCAGCAATAAGTAGGATTTTTAAATTTATGGTTACATATTAATTTGCTTATATTTAGTCACATGACTCGAAACACTCTACAAGTGTATTGTGGGGCCGAGCTAACATATGTAAACATTGCCATTCGGTGTCACTGGTTATTGTGAGTTGAGGTGTTTTCTGTTAGTACAAGTTGAAACTTTGGTTCCACCACTAGTGTTAGCAGATTACAGCAACTGCAAGCCATGCAATAGTGTGCTTGCCGAGTTGGTTGCACAACATGACACCGTAACAGCCTGAGGTAAATCGACAGCCTGAGGCATGATGTGGTGTCGCTGATCATGTCTGTATCCAGACACAGACATAAATCCTGGGGCACGAGATGCCATGTCCGCTTCTGACAACTTGATTAACAGTAATGAAAGAACGATGATACCTAGGATACTTTAGGTCATGGGGAAGATAAATTAAACAGGGCCATGACGTCAGCACATTATGATGTAACTCAAAAAGTGTACTTTGTCGTAGGATAAAGCACAGTCTGCACCTTTGATCTTTCAGCGAGGCATCTTAGAAATAAGATAAGTCAAATCTTTTAAGGGTCCACAATTTTTTATCAAGGCCAAACTTTTCTGATAAAAGGGGCTTGTCTGGGGCCCTATTTAAAACCCGCTCAAGCTATCTCTGTGAAACATTGCACATCATGTCCTGGTAGCATAATATAAAAATCTTGCCTTCCACTATGCTTTCAAGTATCAAGTGGCCATACCTGAATGCTGAAAATAGTCAAATAAACACTTCAGTGGTATTAACCTTTAACAGTGCCTCATAACACAATTTGTACACCAATGCTGGTTTGATCCCAGCCATCAGAAAGATGTTTTAAGTTAAGAAAACTAAAACAACCTCCATAATACATCTTTTTGTTGAGCAGAACCAAAAGCAAAGATCTGATTTTAATGAGATTAATAAACAACCCCTGTCATCTTTCTTAGATGTTTGCACCTTACAATAAACCACCAACATGTTCTGTTGATTGTCATGTTACACCTAGTCCTTCCTTTTTCTTAGCCATCTATTACAATCACGTGTTATCTCTTTGTATTTCCGTAACCAACTGTTACGTGTAGGATAAAGCATGTCCAAGGCTTTTTATAATATTTATAACCGCACCTGTGGGATAAAAACGAGGGGCGTCAGCCCGAGGTTTTATCCCAAGGATACGAGTTTTAAATATCATAAAAACCCAAAGGGAAGTGTTTGATCTTACTTATCAACAGAAAAAAGGAACTTAAAACAACATTTATCAACATATTTATGTTTAAAAAAACCTTTAAATGAACCCTTGGGAACAGGCGTAAAATATACACAAAGAAAAAAGTTAAGCACACCTTAATATATTTCACAATTTTTTTGACAGAGTTACTGCCCCTGTTTTACGGAGCTTCATTTGCCGAATTGTGAGAGAGGGTACTAAGCTTGTGAAATCAACTCCTCCTACAGTTTCCAGAGAATATCCCTGACACTCTACAAACAAGATGTCGACATATTGATGATATGCATATCGCAGTCCCGTTTCATTTCGACTAATTTTGACAGAGTTACTGCCCCTGTTTTACGGAGCTTCATTTGCCTAATTGTGAGAGAGGGGACTAAGCTTGTGAAATCAACTCCTCCTCCAGCTTTTAGAGAATATCCCTGACACTCTACACACAAGATGTTGACAAGTTGATGATATGCATATCGCAGTCCCGTTTCATTTCGACTAATTTTGACAGAGTTACTGCCCCTGTTTTACGGAGCTTCATTTGCCTAATTGTGAGAAAGGGGACTAAGCTTGTGAAATCAACTCCTCCTCCAGCTTTTAGAGAATATCCCTTACACTCTACACACAAGATGTTGACAAGTTGATGATATGCATATCGCAGTCCCGTTTCATTTCGACTAATTTTGACAGAGTTACTGCCCCTGTTTTACGGAGCTTCATTTGCCTAATTGTGAGAGAGGGGACTAAGCTTGTGAAATCAACTCCTCCTCCAGCTTTTAGAGAATATCCCTGACACTCTACACACAAGATGTTGACAAGTTGATGATATGCATATCGCAGTCCCGTTTCATTTCGACTAATTTTGACAGAGTTACTGCCCCTGTTTTACGGAGCTTCATTTGCCTAATTGTGAGAGAGGGGACTAAGCTTGTGAAATCAACTCCTCCTCCAGCTTTTAGAGAATATCCCTGACACTCTACACACAAGATGTTGACAAGTTGATGATATGCATATCGCAGTCCCGTTTCATTTTGACTAATTTTGACAGAGTTACTGCCCCTGTTTTACGGAGCTTCATTTGCCTAATTGTGAGAAAGGGGACTAAGCTTGTGAAATCAACTCCTCCTCCAGCTTTTAGAGAATATCCCTGACACTCTACACACAAGATGTTGACAAGTTGATGATATGCATATCGCAGTCCCGTTTCATTTCGACTAATTTTGACAGAGTTACTGCCCCTGTTTTACGGAGCTTCATTTGCCTAATTGTGAGAAAGGGGACTAAGCTTGTGAAATCAACTCCTCCTCCAGCTTTTAGAGAATATCCCTGACACTCTACACACAAGATGTTGACAAGTTGATGATAAGCATATCGCAGTCCCGTTTCATTTCGACTAATTATGACAGAGTTACTGCCCCTGTTTTTCGGAGCTTCATTTGCCTAATTGTGAGAAAGGGTACTAAGCTTGTGAAATCAACTCCTCCTCCAGCTTTTAGAGAATATCCTTGACACTCTACACACAAGATGTTGACAAGTTGATGATACGCATATCGCAGTCCCGTTTCATTTTGACTAATTTTGACAGAGTTACTGCCCCTGTTTTTTGGAGCTTCATTTGCCTAATTGTGAGAAAGGGTACTAAGCTTGTGAAATCAACTCCTCCTCCAGCTTTTAGAGAATATCCTTGACACTCTACACACAAGATGTTGACAAGTTGATGATACGCATATCGCAGCCCCGTTTCATTTCGACAAATTTTGACAGAGTTACTGCCCCTGTTTTTCGGAGCTTCATTTGCCTAACTGTGAGAGAGGGTACTAAGCTTGTGAAATCAACTCCTCCTACAGTTTCCAGAGAATATCCCTGACACTCTACACACAAGATGTCGACATGTTGATGATAAGCATATCGCAGTCCCGTTTCATTTCGACAAATTTTGACAGAGTTACTGCCCCTGTTTTACGGAGCTACATGAAATCTACTCCTCCTCCAGTTTCCAGAGTATATCACAATATCTAACTATAACTATAACTATAACTATAGTTAGTTTCCTTGTTTAAGGCTTTTGTGGGTGAGCTACATCCTTATGGCATTAGCATTCAGACTGGATTACTCCCAACAAAATGTTCTGCACAATTTGTTTCAAATGCAGTGCTATCTACTGTTGTTATTTCATAAAATACAAAGAAAATATAAACCCGTTAAAAAAATTCATGCAGGGGATGTTGTGCTTTCAGAGCACTCTTGTTTCTTTGTGTATATCCGTTGCTGGGGTATGGTACTTGAAAAATTCATTCTAAAAAGCATTGTGATTTATCCGCGCCTCTGTAGCCTAGTGGTACACTCACCGAGCAACAGATATGTAGGGTGTGTGTGATCCTTGGGAAATAAAGAAAACATTTGTTATTTGATTTTCCTTTACATTACATTGTGTTAAAAAGCAAAATTAATGTCTATTGAGAAACATTCATATGAAGTTGTATTAATAAAGTCCCAGGGATATTAAAACATCCCTGTTTATGAAATTTAACCTGATAGGATGACGTCACTGGAGGTTTATTATTTTGAATATCCCCTTCTTTTTTATAGATTATATAAGCATGTGTCTTCAACAAATTTTGTTGCAAATTTATCACTAAAGAGTTAAGAGTAATTATCTTAACTAAAAATTAGACTACTGGTTCTTGCAAGCAGACCCATCAATATGTAACTCAAAATGGAAAGATTTATGTGTGAAATGATAAGCAAGTGACGTAAACTGAAACAGTATGAGATCAGTCCAGTTGAATTGTAGGAGCTGAGATCAGATTGAAATGGCCGGATGTTTTTATTACTACTAGTAGAATCCTGTAGGAGTGACTGGAGAATGTCACTGCTTCCATGTAGAAAAGGACTAACTTTCATTTTCCTTCAGGATCTGTCAAAGAAGGTGGAGGTGTGGATGGAGAAGTATGAGACTGATGTTGAGGACAAACAAAGGGAGCTGGACATTCTCAAGGCTTCCAAGGCCAAGGATCTTGAGAGACTGCAGGACCTTACTAAACTGGTAGTTAATGATTATTCAGTAGATTTTGTATACTGCTCGTTCAGGTCCAAATTCAATTTAGCATGGTTATATCTACACTTGGCTCTTCTTTGACCACACAGTATGTTTATCTCCATTCCACCATGACAAAATGAAAATGCCAACTCTTTGGTGCTTATGGAGTCCAGTTTTTATAATGGGTATATTTTCTGGCTGTCCAAGATTGCAGTGTCATAGATATCGGGAAATAAGACTGGAATACGAATTATGACAAAATAATAGATCAGTAAGAAAACATGAACTTAGTTCCTAGAACCATTGTGCCTCATTCTGTGTTTTATAGTATGATACAACAGTAAATTGCAATGATACAACTACAATTTTATCTAATAAAAGCAAACTTTCAATTATTGGCATCACCAAATTAACGTGTCAACCTCTGGCTTTAAATGCACCATGCAATTAGTGCGAGTAGACCAGAGTTTGGACTGTAAAAACTAATCAGCAAACAATAACACACAGACTGTTTATTTAGAATTCTGAGATATTGTATGGGTTAGATTGAATATTATTTGCAATTTTCTCAAACTTAACTTCATCTTGACATGTGATCTAACTTCCATGAAATCAAATGCAGTAAATTCCAAAAACCAAGAAAGGCCCAGTCACAACACATGTTCCAAGCATTGTTACATGAGCGCAATCCTTGGAGTGTGTTATGTATTGACCATGACGGCTGTTGCTGTTCTGGACATTTTCACGACATGGGTAAGCAGTGTTCAAGATTGTTTGATGAGGTGACCAAAATAAAGGTGCCTTTACACAGTTGGTTATTGTCACAACTGCATAAACAACATGTGTCAATAAACTCACCACACTTGACACAAAACTTGTTGAGGAGCTCTGTCTATATCTTACACAGCAAAAATGGAAAGTGAAATTAAACAAAAATCTTTAAAATATTATTGCTCACGGCATTGCTCACTTACATGTTCACCACACACAAATTATGCACACAACATTAGGACGACTTTGTTAATACTGCATAAATTGTTGTTTATTCAGATTACAATTTTAATTAACTAAATACAAATTAAATAATTATTCATTATTTTATTTCTCCATTCTATTGACCAGGATTTTTCACACAAAAGTACAAAAAACTAAGAACTATGAAAGTCTTGAAAAAGGCTTAAGTGGCCTTTGGGTCATCTCTATTAGGATGTTTTACTTGAAATTTCAAGGCTTTGATTTGACTGCAGTCATAGAGGGATATATTATTATTCATAACTCCTGGTTAAATAATTAAAACAGACTCCAACGCATGACTTTGCCTTGAAGTCTTTTTTGAAAGATATTTTTACATCTATGAAGCAGTAATGTAATAGTCTGTAAGTATGTTACCTTCCAACAGTGCAGATTTCCTTCATATGACAAGAACAACACTTCCACTAGTTTCAGCTTCAAAAGATTGCTGGGAAAGTTGTCAGAGATTTGAAGAAGGAAGCTCTTAGTCTCTTATTGATGTATAGGTTCTGGTAAAAAAAACCGTTTAAGTCTTTGAAAGGCATTTAAAAGTGATAAACATAAAGAAGAGAATTTATGGATGTCAATTTCTTCATAAAGAAGTAAGTATATATTCTGAAAAGTTGTCTTCCTCATAATAAAGAAGTTGATATCCATAAATTCGCAAAGTCAAGTGTCAAGCACGGTCAGTTTGTTTACACAAGTTGATCAAAGCAGTTTATGTGTATGATGGCATATCTGTGCTCTATCAACCTGGTCCAATAATCTTATATCACAAGCAAAACACTGCAAGTGATTTCATGGCATTTGATAAGCTAATAATGCATTTAATTTTTGCATTTCTGTTTCCATAAATCTAAGGAAAAAATAGGCATGCCTAAAGGCAGGGATATAATAGGATGGGATATGTATTCCATCATTGAGCTGAAGAATAGCATTTATTTTGGATCATTGTCTACATTTTTTGTGTGGTATTGATTAAATAAGCTGTCTGAGAAGTTATTATTGTTGCTTATTTATGTGTTGTGCCAATATGTTGTGGAGAGAACACTTGGTTATTGTAGTCATCTCAGTTATCGGTACATAGGAAAAGTCCAAGGTGAAGGTCAGCTACCATCAATAATATGTATGTCCCCCATTGGAATTGATAGTGGCCTGACATCTCCTGACCATGGAATGGTAGCCCACTCAGCCTGCAACGCAAAAGCCAACTACTGCAACGTCTGGGGTTGTGGTTGACGTCGGCGTAGCTGTCTATCCAATTCATTCCACAGGTGCTCTAGCGGGTTCAAATCCAGGGATCTGGAGGGCCAGGGGAGAACATCAACCTTGTTGATGTGTAGACAGGCTCTTATGATCCATGCTCTATGTGGTCGAGTGTTGTCCTGCTGGAATACACCGTTGCCGTTGGCGCAATTGGGAGGAAGTGTGGTTGGAAAATTTCGTTGATGTATCGTTGAGCCGTAAGATTGCCCTTGATATGGACCAAACCTGTCCTGACATGATGAATTATAGATGCCCACATCATTACGCTAGACCTATCAAACCTGTACACTTCCTGTATGCAGTTTCTGGGGAACTTTCTCCCTTTGGGATGTGGTTGAGATTGCTGTGGTCCTTTATCGTAGGTGGTGCAGTCAGATGTAGCAATCTTGGGCGAGGGTGGTTAGTCTTGGTTGTCCCGACCTTGACCGATCACGTGTTGACCCATGCTGTTGAAACCGATCCCATAGCCTTGTGATGGTGCTGGGCGCTACATTGAAAACTCTGGCCACAGTTGATCGGGATTCCCCTGCCTACAAGCGGCATATGACATTGTTTCTTTGCAATTCTGTAAATCTTGGCATGTTGTTTAACTGTTCCTGTTCGATTGACACAGAAATCAGGCAATTAAAAACCCTGCACTTTAATACCGCTCATAGTGCTGCTGCACATGCAGTGCGTGCAGCTCCATGGCCCTTTTGTTAATGTACTTGGTGCATTTTTCCGAGGCGTACATGTTTCCCAACTAATGGTTTGCCTGTCCTTGTTGTGATCATTTTGATCCGGGAAATTTGTCACTGACACTATAACACATTAAACTGCTTCATTTTGCACCTCTTGGTCCACTAAATTTGCTTTTATTGCCAAAAATATCCGTTTTGCGTCTCTCTTTTTTAAGAGTATATGTGGAGAAAGCCAACAATATGCAATGAAACTGCTTTTGCTGATTATGATTTAAGAGGTGGGACTACCTGGTTACTCATATTTATTTCATGAACCATTTCATGCTGGTCTAGGCATTCTCATTGATTTGGTGACACATTAATTTCATGATTTACGATACAGGCCATGTTGGGTTAACACTCCTCTAAGTGTCCATGGGTAGGAGATGCGAGGCAGTGCTTGACAATAATAGGGGATATTGAGGCTCTCATGACATTTACCTTTGTTCCATGTAATGTCTGTAATAGTAAACACATGTCCAATGTTGTCCTGTTGAAGTATGTCATCACTTATCAAGTGTTTTGATGTGAATTACTGTGTGTTACTTCCCATGCCAGAAATCTAGTAATGCATTTTTTTAAGAGCATATAAATAATGTAGGGTGATATTTCATGTTGGCAACATTGCATAGGTTTTGGCCCATGGTAAATTTCAGTTCATTGACCCCAGTCCATTATTAATGTGTAACTTTCTCCAACAACAATTATTACTAGACTTCTGAACTAGCATGTCTATTCAGCTGGTGTTTACAAGAGCGTGGGTACCTCGACCATATTTTTTGTAATTCTCTTCTTCAGTACAAAGAATATGAGCAAGTCGTTGTGGAGGATCGTATTGCCAAGGAAAAGGAAAGGCGGAGAGCAGAACAAGACAATATTGAGCTGAAGGCTTCCATCAGAGTAAGAACTACGATTTATTGTTTTTGATACACAAGTCTTTCCTCTGACCATAACAAATTATTCATTTAAGAATTGACCTTCACTTTGTGTGAGTTCCTTGGAGTATGAACCTTCATAGAGTGAGGGCCAAACTGTATTAACGTCGGAGCTTGCGACGACGTTCATACTATGTTTGGCCCTCACTCTATGAAGGTTCATACTCCAATGAACTCACACAAAGTGAAGGTTAATTCTTATAATTTTTTTATCACAATTTCTTACCTCAAAGGATGTAGGCCAAGATCTAAACACAATTTTATTTAGTATGTGTGACTTCATGTTTACACTGACAGCCATACAACAACCAGCTATATCGCGGAGTAAAATAGTTCCTCAAAAAGAGAGGTGACATGGGCGTATGGATGCACAACTTGCTCTTCAGAAACATCTTACGCAACACATGTGTTCAAATAATAACACCATTAGATGAGAAAGGTCAGTAAAGAACTACCTAAGTAAGTCAGTCACAAAGATAGCACGTCATAATACATTTACATCAAGTACAAGACGTCAAAATGGCCGCCATGATAAACGTGACGGGAGGATTTCCGAAGTTGTTAATGAACCTGTGGCGGTTACATGTGTTAGTCATCATTGATCAACTGACCAATTATTGAAAGGTGATTAAAGATGCGTCAAACAGACACCAAGGTAAATTCGTAGATTGCTGGAGACTGTCACTGTCAACCTAGACACTGATCGAGTCGATACTGACGATAGTTTGGATGTGGATTAGGATGGGCCGTAGCGAGGAAATTCGTAAACAATCATGCAGTCAAGCTCTCTTACGTTTCTCAATGTATACTGAAAGGCTGAGACCAAGTTAAAAGGTTCTAAATGATCAGAAATAATGCTTATGTATGTTTTCGTGCTAGGGAAATCCCAGGGGTTTCCCCAGGAATGTGGAAGTAGTCCGTCAGTGTTTACGTCATTTCAAGAACACGGTCTTGTGAAAAACGTATGAACGTCAAATTGTGTTGTTCATACACTTATGAACGTCAATTTCGCGGTCATGTGACCGACATCTCGTCCAATGGAAAAGCCGTATATCGTGTAAACTTCAAATTAAAAAATTATTAGATTTTTAACCCTCCCTGCCTTATTTTATTATCCCCATTAAACCAAACTGCCAAAGACAATTTTCGTATTTTGAGAAACAAAAAACACTTTGATAATGATTTTGTTTCTAGGGAGTATCATAAAAAATATATTCTAAATGTGTATATCTTACATACAAAAATATTTTTTTGCTTTTTTAACTTATCCTGCATTCCTCCTTAATGCATTTACTGCTGTCTTTTGACAGAGAAGCGGCGGTCGGGTAGCCTAGTGGTTAAAGCGTTCGCTCGTCACGCCATAGACCCGGGTTCGATTCCCTACATGGGTACAATGTGTGAAGCCCATTTCTGGTGTCCCCCGCCGTGATATTGCTGGAATATTGCTAAAAGCGGCGTAAAACTATACTCACTCACTCACTCACTTTTGACAGAGAGATGAATTGTGTGAGATCCAGCTGCTGAAGAAAAGTTGTTCCAACCATTAGAGGCAGCACCCTCGCACAGTCGAACGTCACATTAAAACGCGTAACAGACAGACGTACTTTGTATCCCTTGTGGAAATTATAGCTTATTGTTTCTATACTTTGCGTGTTTCTACATTCATCGTATGCTGCAACATTGTTACCTGTTTATGGACTGTTACCTTTGGGTCTTCACATTCGTAATTTGTAACGTTTATCGCTCGTATGTGGCTCTAGTCACCTTTATGTACGGGTGTACGGTTTTTCCTACCATTTAGTTTTTTTCCCTGCCATTTTAGCTATTAACCACTTGGCCACATATTTTTGTGTTCTGTGTTTTAAATTCTTTTTTTGGCTTGGGTAATACACTAGATTTATTTATTTTGTCTTGGCATGCTTAAAGCTTTGCCTTTTCACTACCTTTTAGCGTAATTGTTTGCTCTCATAAACTTAAATAAAATACAAAGATTTTGAGTTACATTATGCTTCTCGTACTTTGTGGTTTTGCCACATGCTTATGTTTTTGGTTAAATTCCAGACTTGCTGCCTGTTTAACCAGACCTTCCACTGCTTTGACTAGGTGGTCAGCCTGGACCTGTAATTTCTCATTTAGCACTTGCCAGGTTGAGAGCATGTTCTGGCACCAAATGGAAGATCCACCCAGAGGTCTTCGCCATACTTTGACAAACGATCGACACCCCAAACATAGATCTGTTCTGGGTTCTTCAAAAGATCCAGGCCACTCCGCACCTGACACTGATTTTGGTCAGGCCAATAGTTGGTTTATCGACCTCCGAAACATCGCCAGAGACCCCTGGAACTTCCGGCATGGCCCAACCTTCTGCTCCACCCACACAGTCGGTTGCCATAACCAAACCCTGCATGGTTTCATCTGCATGCCTGGCACACCAAGGGCTATTCAGCTAGAGTGGCCAAGGCATTAGCCCAGCCTCCATCTACACGGGGACTGATGATAAATGGTGCTCGCTCAAGGCATTCTGCTCAGACAAATACCAGGATCTGATGACAGCATCAGCGCAGTTCCTGGCTGAGTTCCTTCTGTACTTGCACAGCACACTTCGGTTGAAAGGCTCTACCATCGCCACATTCCTGGTCGCTATCAACTCCATTCTTGCAATCCCGGACAATCGGAGAATGCTGCGCTCATTCCTTCTTGAAGACCAGAAAGCCAAGTTTATACCGCCTGCGTAGGATCTCCCTCCGAACCACTCCACTCACCTTCCTTCTACGACCTAATGAAGAAGACGGTGTCTCTACTGGCCTTGCCTACTGTTGTCCGGGTCAGTGAGCTCCACGCCCTCGACGTCTCCCATGTCTGGTTAAAATGCGGTACTTAGGGCGCAGTTCATTTTAGGCTGTGCTGGGACTTCATCGCAAAGAATCAACTCCCAAGACAGCCTGATAGATCATTCACCATCTCCCCCATCTTGTCCATTAAAGGGCACTGAAGGTTTTCCTATGACGAAATAAAGCCCACCACTAGTCTAGGAAATGCCTTTTTCTGCCAGTCTCTTCTTCGTCGCAGTTGAAGGTCAACCAGAATACTATTTCCCTGTGGCCCCAGGCGGTCATCCTCCAAGCTTACAAAGTTGCCGGATTGGACCCCCCAAAGGCTAAAAACCCACACAAGATCAGGGTACTTGCATCTACCATGGCTCTTCACAGTAACTGCTTGATCATGGAGGGCTGTTATTGGTGATCTGACACCATCTTCGCCAGCCGTGATGACCTCCGTGATGTAGCCTTGGAAGATGTGGCCGGCATTCAGTTATGGATGTAGCACAACGGTTAGAGGGCTCTACTGCGTTCCGCATTCGCTCTTAGGTCAGTTCTAGTTTTCGGCTTCCTGCCTCATTCTATTTCAGTCACCCATTCAGGTTTTACTTTTTGCATCGACTCTCGTTTCCTGACGACAGGATTGGTAGTAGATGTTGACGCCGCCGCCGCTGATTCTCCGATACCCCAAGTGGGGCCCCTCAACCTCTCTGGTGTTTATCACCCAAGGCTAGAGGGCTCTCCTGCATTCTGCATTCACTCTTGGGAATGTTGACGCTGATTCTCCATACCCTGAGCGGGGCCGTTGAACTCTCTGATGTTTATCACCACAGATTAGAGGCCCTACTGAGTTCCACATTCGCTCTTAGGTATGTCCTAGTTTTGGCTACCCGCCTCATTCTATTTATGTCACCTATTCAGGTTTTTTTCTTCCTTTTTGCATCAACTCTTGTTCCCTGAAGATAGGAATGGTCATAGATGTTCTGGTCATCACTTGTATGCCGTGCAGATTCATCAGTCCTTGACAAGGGTTTATCTGAAGGTATGCCCACCTGCCATGCCGTCTGATAAAGATGCATTAAGAAGTAATGCAGGATTAGTTAAAAATATTAGTAAAATCTAAATATTTTTTACATGTGTATACTTATCCTGCATTACAAGTCTAAGTGACCTCCCTTCGCTATGCTGCCTCCCTACGCTTTCCCACGAATTTTCAGATCCGGGTCACGTGCCGACTGTGCGAGGGTGCTGCCTCTACTGGTTGCAACAACTTTTCTTCAGCAGCTGGGTCCACTTGCACACAGTGATTTAGCGCTACAATTATTGTAAATCCTTAAGATCACGACCTTAGGCTTCGGCTACAATCGTAATCCACTTGCACAAAACGATTGTAGGCTAAGATCATTGTAAGCTACAATCGAAACTTACAATTGGTCCGGACCAATCTTAAGTAGCTAAGATCGTTGTAGTCCCTGAATAAACTTGACAAAATGGCGTCCAAGACTTGGTCTGTTGCACATAAATAATCTGCTTTACGTTCAAACATTGCCTCCTTATTTTGTTAAACTTTATGATTCGAATCGACACTTTAACAACATGAAGAAAGCACCACAGATTCAACGTCAGAAATAGCGTTAATTGCAATAGTTAACCATATAACTATCGAGTCGATAGCTAAAAGGAATATTCCCATCCGCTGAAAGAAGTGTGAAACAACATAACTTTTCGCTAAACAAGAGAAGACCTAAGTTGTCTGCAATCGATTTGTAACGTCCGTGACCCTTTGGATAAATCAAGGGCAGCTAATATTAGTTTATACTCTAGATGGGAGTAGTTTCCCTTTGTTTTAGCCCGTAGAGTACAATCTATCTTACCCAGTGTTCCGTCTTTCTGTGTTTTGAAAAGGTAGTCATAAGATCCTTTGTTATAGCAACGAAACGAAAACATGAAGGATATATTTAGGATTTTACGAAAAGCTCCCCCAAATAGATGACGATCATGCATTAACGTGTTATGTTATTAGGAAATATTATCATTATTATTTATTTTTATTTCATAACAATTGTGTCACTAAATAATGTATTTATTCGTATTTTAATACTTTTAATAAAAAACACGAGTAGGTATTTCTCTAGTTGCAATAGAA